ATGCGTTGGAAAGTCTCACCAATAGAATTGAATAAGCAGAAGAAAGACCTTCAGAGATGAAGACAATGTTTTTGAATTATATCAATCCGTCAAGACAAAGAAAAGAATTTTAAATAATGAAAAAGTCACCAAGACGTTTGGGACTATGTTAAACATCCAAACCCAAGAATAATTGGTGCTCCTAATGAAGAAGAGAAATGTAAAAGTTTGGAAAATAATTAGAATGGATAAGTGAGGAAGATTTCCCTAGTCTTGCTAAAGATCTAGACATCCAAATACAAGAAGCACAAAGAACACCTGGAAAATTCATTGCAAAAATATTTCATCACCTAGGCACATACCAACAGGTCATCTGATGTCAAGATGAGGAAAGAATTGTAAGAGTTATGACACTAAGGCATTCGGTAACCTATAAAGAAAAACCTGCTAGATTAACAGCAGATTTCTTACCAGATACCAGAAACTTCATAAGATAGAAGGAATTGGAGTCGTATTTTCAGCACCTTTGAAGAAAACAATTATCAGCCAAGAATTTTGTATTCAGTAAAACTAAGCTTCTTAAAGGAAGGAAAGATATCATTGTTTCCAGACAAACAGATGCTGGGAGAATTCACCATTACCAAGCCAGCACTATAAGAACTGCTATAAGGAGTTCTAAACTTGAAACAAATTCTTGGATTACACCAAAATAGAACCACCTTAAAGCAGAAATATCACAGGACATACATAACAATAACAGAATGAAAAAGAAATCAAGATATTCAGCCAACAAAGAGCACAACAGAGAGAATAGTACTTCACATCTCAATACTATCATTAATGTTAGTGGCCTAAATATTCCACTTAAAAGATACAGAATGGCAGAATAGATAAGAATTCAACAACCAAGCATCTGTGTCTTCGTGGGACTCACCTAACACATAAGGACTCACATAAACTTAATAGAAAGGGATGGAAGAAGATATTCCATGCAAATGTAAACCAAAGGTGCAAAGAAGTATCTACTATTATATCAGAAAAAACAAATTTTAAAGCATCAGCAGTTAAAAAAAGACAAGAGCAACAGTATATGATAAAAGGACTAGTGCAACAGGAAAATACCACAATTGTAAATATATATCCACCTAATTGTGAAACTCCCAAATATATAAAAAAATTACTACTAGACCTAAGAAATCAGATAGACAACAATACAAAAATACTGGGATACTTTAATATTCAACGGAGAACCCTAAACATGTCTTCAAAACAGAAAGTCAACTAAGAAACAATGAGATTAAACTATATGCTACAACAAATGGACTTAACATATTTAGAGAATATTCTACCCAACAACTGCAGAATATGCGTTTTATTCATCAGTATATGGAACATTCTCTAAGATAGGCCATATGGTAGGCCACAAAACAAGCCTCAGTTATTTAAGAAAATCAAAATTATATCAAGTACTCTCTCAGACCACAGTGGAATACAATTGGAAATCAACTTCAAAGGAACACTCGAAACCAGGCAAATACATGGAATTTCAACAACTTGCATCTGAAAGATCATTGAGTAAACAATAAAATCAAGATGGAAGCTTAACAAAAAATTTAAACTGAATGAAAAGAGTGACACAACCTATCAAAACCACTGCGATACAGCAAAAGCAATGCTAAAAGGAAAGTCCACACCATTAAATGTCTACATCAAAAAGTCTGAAAGAGCACAAATAGACAATCTAAGGTCACACCTCACTGAACTGGAGAAACAAAAACAATCCAAACCCAAGCCTGGAAGAAGAGAAGAAATAACGAAGATCAGAGGAAAACTAAATGAAACTGAAACAAAAAAATTCAAAAGATAAATGAAACAAAAAACTGATTCTTTGAGAAGATAAAATAGATAGACAATTAGTAAGATTAACCAACAAAAGAAAATATTTAAATAAGCTCAACTAGAAATGAAACAGGTGGCCGGGCATGGTAACTTGTGCCTGTAATCCCAGCACTTTGGGAGGCCTAGGCTGGGAGATCACGAGGTCAGGCGTTGGAGACCAGCCTGACCAACATGGTCAAACCCGATCTCTACTAAAAATACGAAAATTAGCCGGTCGTGATGGCATGCACCTGTAATCACAGCTACTCAGGAGGCTGAGGCAGGAGAATCTCTTGAACCTGGGATGTGGAGGTTGCAGTGAGCCCAGATTGTGCCACTGCACTCCAACCTGGGCAACAAAGCAAGACTCTGTCTCAAGAAAAAAGAGAAAGAGAGAGAGAGAGAGAAAGAAGAAAGAAGGAAGAGGGAAGAAGGAGGGAAGGAAGGAAGAAGGAAGGAAGGAAGGAAGGAAGGAAGGAAGGAAGGAAGGAAGGAAGGAAGGAAGGAAGGAAGGAAAGAAACAGGCAATGAAAAACTCGTACCACAGAAATACAAAAAAATTATTCAAGGCCACTATGAACTCTTTTATGCACATAAACTAAAAGACCTAGACGAGATAGATAAATTTCTGAAAATGTATAAAACTCCAATATTAAATGGGGAAGATATAAAATCTCTGAAGAGACCAAAAATAAGCAGCAAGACTGAAATGGTAATTTTAAAAAATGCCAATGAAAAAAGGCCAGGACAAGACAGATTCACAGTTGAATTCTATCAGACATTCAAAGAAGAATTAGTCAATCCTACTGACACTATTCCAAAAGATAAAGAGGGAATCTTCCGGAAATCTTTGTATGAATCCACTATCACCCTAATACCTAAAGCAGACAAGGACATAAGACAAATAAAACTACAGACCAATATCCCTGATAAACACAGAAGAAAAAGTCGTCAAAAAAAAAGTACTAGCCAACAAAATCCAACAGCATATGAAGAAGATAATCCACCACGTACAAGTGGGTTTCATACTGGAAATGCAGGGATGGTTTAATATATGTAAGTCAATTAATATGATATATCCCACATAAACGGATTTAAAGAGAAAAATCACATCATCATCACAATAGACAAGAAAAAGCATTTGACAAAGTCCAGCATGCCTTTAGGATTAAAATCCTCAGCAAAATCGGTGTAGAAGGGACATACCATAAGATAATCAAAGCCAACTGTGACAAATCCACAGCCAATGATAATCTGAATGGGGAAAAGTTGAAAACATTTCCCCTAAGAAATGTAATAAGATAAGGATGTCCACTCTCACCACTCCTATTCAGTACTTGACCATACTGCCAAAAGCAATCTACAAATTCAATACAATTCCTGTCAAAATGCCACCATCATTCTTCTCAAAACTAGAAGAAACATCCTAAAATTCACATGGAATCCAAATGGAGCCTGCATAGCCAAAGCAAAACTAAACAAAAATAACAAATCTGGAAATATCACATTGCCCAACTTCAGACTGTACTATAAAGCCATAATCATGGAAACAGCATGGTACTGTATAAAAATAGGCATATAACTAATGGAACAGAATAGAGAACCCAGAAATAATGCCAAATACTTACAGCTAACTGGCTTTCCACACAGCAAACAAAAACATAAAATGGGGAAAGGAAAACCTACTAAACAAATGGTGCTGGAATAATTGGCAAGCCGCATGTAGGAGAATGAAACTGAATCCTCATCTCTCACTTTATACAAAAATAAACTCAAGGTGGATCAAAGACTTACATCTAAAACCTGAAACCACAAAGATTTTACAATATGTCTTTGGAAACACCCTTCAAGCCATTGGCTTAGGCAAAGACTTCAGGACCAGTAACCCAAAAGAAAATGTAAAAAAAAAAAAAAAAGGGGGGGGGGGATAAAAGATAAGACTAAATTAAACTAAAAAACTTCTGCACAGCAAAAGAAATAATCAACAGAGTTAACAGACAAACCAGAGAATGGGAGAAAATCTTCACGGAGAAAATCTTCACAATCTATACATCTGACAATCAAATAATATCCAGAATCTACAAAGAACTCAAACAAATCAGCAAGAAGAAAACAAACAATCTCATCAAACTGGAATTGGACTAAGGGACTTGAATAGACAATTCTCAACAAGATATACAAATGGCCTATAAGCATATGGAAAAATGTTGAACATCACTAATTATCAGAAAAATGTAAATCAAAACCACAGTGCAATACAATTTCACTCCTGCAAGAATGGCCATAATCAAAAAATCAAACAATAATAGATGTTGGCAAGGATGTGGTGAAAAGGAAAACTTTTTACACTGTTGATCAGATTTTGAACTATTACAACACTAGGAAAAGTAGTGTGAAGGTTCCTTAAACAACTAAAAGTGGATTTGCCATTTGATCCAGCAAAACCATTCAGTATATACTGAGAAGAAAAGAAGTCATTATACGAAAAAGATACTTACATGTTGTATGTTTATAGCAACACAATTTGCAATTGCAGCAATATGGAAGCAGCCTAAATGCCCATCACTCAATGAATGGATAAATAAAAGTTGGTATGTATGTGTGTGTGTGTATAAAAATATAAATATATACACACACACACACACACCATGGAATACTGCTCAGCCATAAAAAGGAATGAATTAATAGCATTTGCAGCAACCTGGTTGGAATTGGAGACTATTATACAAAGTGAAGTCACTCAGGAATGGAAAAATCAAACATTATATGTTCTCACTCATATGTGCCAGCTAAGCTATGAGACATCCAGGCATTAAGAATGATACACTGGACTTTGGGGACTTGGAGGAAATGTTGGGGACTGGAGAAGGAAAAAAGACTATATCTTGGGTACAGTGAACACTACTTGGTTGATGGCTGCACAAATATCTCAGAAATCACTACTAAAGAAGTTATTAATTCAACCAAACACTACTTGTTTCCCAAAAAGATAATAAAAAAATTTAATGTCTTTATTTAAAACGACTTACATTGTAGTCACAACTGAATTGAATGTAAAGATATCTAAAATAGTTTATCTGAAATAAATAATATAGGTGCCCATAAATATGTTGAGCAATGCACACAATCAATGATACTTTTAGGACTTAATAGAAAAAGGAGGATATTAAAAAGAATAATTTAGCAGACATCAAAACATAAAGTTTATGAGGTAACTCTCTCTCCAGACTTTCCCTTTCCTAACATCTTCTTGAATGCTCTGGTCACTTCCTTGTTGCGGAGGCTGTAGATGAGGGGATTCAGCATGGGAGTGAGAATGGTGTAGAATACAGACACCATCTTGTCCTTTATTGGGGATCGATCAGATGTGGGGCGTATGTACATAAACAAACCTGCTCCATAGTACATTCCCACCACTGTGAGGTGAGAGGAACAGGTAGTAAAAGCTTTGCGATGACCCTCTCCAGATCCCATGTGAATCACAGCCAGAATAACTCGAGCATAGGAAGCAATGATGATTGCAACGGGGAAAACAAGCATTACTATACAGCAGATGAAAAGAACCTTTTCAAATATTGATGTGTCATTGCATGAGAGGATTAGTAGGGAAGGGAACTCACAGAAGAAGTGGGCTATTTCCCGAGACCCACAATAGGAGAAGGAAAATGTAGCTACAACATTGATAATTCCATCGGTGGAGCCCAGGATCCAGGAGAAGGCAGCCATAAGTCCACAAATTTGGGGTCTCATGAAATTGGTGTATCTCAGAGGGTGGCAAATGGCAATATAGCGGTCATAAGCCATAACAGCCAACAGAAAGCATTCAGAGCCAAGCAGTGATGTATAGAAGAAAATTTGTGTGGCACAGCCAGCCATAGATATGAATTTGCTGCCAGACAAGTAGTTGAAGGCCATCTTGGGTACAGTGGTGCAGATGAGCATGAAGTCCATGAGGGACAGTTGGCTGAGGAGGAAGTACATGGGGGTGTGTAACTGAGTGTCCAAGTAGATGAGGAGAACCATGGCAGAGTTTCCCATGAAGGCCACTGAAAAGATGGCTAGGACCAGAAAGAAGAGGAAGGTGTGGGTGGGGCTGTGATTGAAGATTCCCAGGAGGATGAAGTCAGAGTTGAAGGTCTGATTCTCCCATGCCATGATGAATATGCTTTTTACCTAGTACCACAAAACCAGTATATTAATTTGGTAAAACTTTACTCAGTGCCTTATAAATCATGTGATTGTGGTAAATTCTGTAGTTTGTTGATCAATACAGCATGACCAGAAGTAGGAAACTCAAAGATTAAGAATTATAGAATCATAAAGAAATATGTTCTTTCAGCACTGTCTCACTTATAAAATTATGGAGCTTGTCCTAAGTTTTTCTTCTGAGCATCCTTTTTCTCCATTAAAAATTAGAAAAACGATATCTAATATGTAATCGAATTTTTCCAAAAGAATATATCTCCAAAGCTAACAGATTGTTCCTATAACATGAGAAGTCTTTTACAGATAAATTGATAGAGAAACTCAGCTGCAGTCTACATGTGACCAACACAATACTAGAAATGGAGAATAAATTTGTGTCTTTGCTCACATGATGGTAGGCATTTTTACCACAGTGTTAAGAAAATCTATATATTTACCTATTACTTTATAGTTTAGAGTATTTGATCTATACTTTATAGTAAGTTTTTTATACAGTAAGTGGATAAACTGAAAAGACTTTCAATTGTACAAATCAAAGACCTACGCCCTTTTTTCTATAGCTCAGATTTACAAATTAAATTATATTTCTTCCCCAAAAATACTCAGCATGTGTGCTTGTTTAGAAATACATAAAGGGTATAATTATTTAAGGTGTGGTCATATTGGAGTAGAGTGCACCTCTCTAATCCAATATGACTCATGTTCTGATTAGAAGGTGGCCATGTGAATACTGACACACTGGGGAATACGAGGTGATAGGGAAAGTAGGGATTGGAGTGATGCGTCTACAAAGCAAGAAATGCCAAAAACTGTTATCACAAGAGCTTAGAAGAGAGGAATGGGACACATTCGTCCTCTTAGAGCCCTCAGAAATAACTATCCCTGCTGACATCCATCTTGATTTCAGATTTCAAGCCTCCAGAACTGTGAGGTAAAATTATGTTGTTTCAAGATAAACAGTTTGAGATACTCTGTATTGGCATTCCTAGGAAACTAACACACACAATATCTCTCTAGAGAATAAGCACAAAAAAAAAAAAAAAGAAAACAGAAATTCAGAAAAGCATGAGATTCACCCTTTCAAGAACACTTACGAAGCCTGGCTATGTGTTCCTCACTGGGGCTACCACAGTAATCAGAACAAACAAAGCCCCTGTCCATTCAGGTCATAGTGAGTGTGATTAGATGCTTACTATAAAACACTTTGGGATTTCATAAGAGGATAAATGTTTTGGAGAAAAGTAAGTCAAAGAAGGCTGTTAATATTGTGTTCAACTTTGAATAAAGCAGTCAAGGGAAACCCCACACATCTAACGGCTTCTGGCAAAGAGTGAAGTGAGAAAGAGACCAGACCACAAGAAAGGGTTGTACATATGTGAATTCCACAAAATGAAATGCAATAAATAGAAAATATGCAGAGAAAATAGAAATGTGTAGAAGATTTTGGGAAACCAGAGGATTTTCTAACTCAAAGTTATGTTTCTTGTATGTTGTGGCATTTAGATTGAATTGTAGGAGATACTTATAAATGCATGAGCAAAGCCAGTATGTGAAGAGTGATTATTCCCGGCAATAAAAAATGATGCCATGAACAGAAAGATAAGCCTGGTGAGTAGACTGATTAGACAGAAATGTACTTTTTAAAAATTCATGCATCACATTTTAATGAGACTAAAAATAACACAACAATGAAAGCTTAATAAACCAGGAGCAGCAAGAGAGTTAGAAGAAATTTGCAGAGGAGATGGAATCTGGAATTTGTCCTCATGGGTTGAAATACAATTTTTTAAATAGGGAGGTAGTAAAGTATATCTTTTTGAGTTGTATTTATTTACATAAATTTTGAATAATATTGTGGGTAAGAATGAAAAAATTACTGAAACTTAGTTTTACATTTTAATTCAAGAACAACTGTGACCTGGGAATACTAACCTACCAAGAAATGCCTCTTCAGTGCTGGGAAGACACAGAAGGAACCTCCTTATGGGACTCTCGGGAGATTAGAATGTCAATCTCTAAAAGAAAAACAAATCATTTTTGTCAATGAGCGTGAAGAGAGAAACAGATCTCAACCTCCTCCCTTTCTGGTTTTAAAACAAATGGTTATCAAGAACTTGGATAAACCTGATTATTGGTATCTCAGATCTAGGTTCACTCAATGTCTTGAGAATGAGAAATGGGCATCTCTGGGATCTTTAGTGTTGCAGGTTTCCTACCACAGGGTTCCCTTGTGTTGTCCTCAAGAGGAGGTGGGCTTTTAAGGTCAATCAGTGGAAAAGACTTTGTATTGCCTCAATAATTTCCAGTGCTTATGAGCTGAATTCACTTCAAGAAAATAACTCATCTCAACTTACTTTATGGAACCACCTATTTTGACCATCATACCATAGCTTTCCCAGTTATCTTGATCTTGTCAACTGTTATAATACACAATTTATGCAAATAAAACTATATTATCTCAAATCTCCACCATAATTTGTCTTTAATTCAGCCTGAAATATTACTCCAAGAAGGAAGCTATGTCATCAAGTTAGCTTCTCCCTATGCTTCTTTTTAACTTGGCAAAGTGTTCTTTACATTTGGGAAACACTACTTCCAAGTCACTAAGTTGAAATGAAATGTTGATTAATTCTACTTGATCATTTAGACATTTCTACTGTATGTTTTACATTCAATTGAATGATGCAGCATTAAAACAAAATTGATTAACAAATGTAAATCTACATATCCCTCTGAATTTTCTCAGTTACATTAGTTTAGGCTGAATTTATATAAATGTACTCTTATTTGTGTTGTATTTTTGCACCTCCCTTCATTGCCTCAAAATTCCCTTCATACCCACGTGCTAACATTACCTTCATTGATTTTGTCCTGTCACAGAGAATGTGGCAAAATATATCACAAATACATAACAGTTCATAAGTGATAAAATTGAAAATACAGAGCACTAGATTGCCCTATGCCTTCTATATTAAGATCCATATGAACATTCATTCAATATGATTCTATAAAGAAAAATAATGTTGTTTCTAGTGAGAAATTTGACATTCTTTCTAAGTTAGTAAGATACATATGAGAAATTGTGCTTACCTTTAGGCACTAGGAATATGAGACCCAATCCTGAAGCTCAGTGTAAGTTATCCAGGATATAAACAATCCAAAAATGCAGTGAATATAACATTGGGATTCCAAGAGATATTTGTATATATTCCTATAAAAATGGATCTGTGGTGAAATATATTAGCAACTCCAAGTTATTCAGGACTAGTCACTGCCAACAAAAGCAGAACATTTTGAGTTTGAGCACTTTACTAGAAGGAATATTTAAAGCAGCTTTTTCAGAATGGATCTGAAATTATGACATCTTGTTTTTTTTTATGAATACCTATTGATATTTCAAAGGTTCCCATGTAATGAGGTACAACACTTTGAACTCTGCATTAGACATTGCCTACCAACTATTTTTCCCTTAATTGAAACTTTATGCTTTTAATTTTATTTATTTTATCTAATCTGCATTGTTTCTGTTGTGATAAACTCCATCATTTTGTAAAAAGATGGTGCATACATTCAGTTTTTTTAAATGTATTTTTTACGTGTTAACATCATCATGTCCACAAGAGGAGTCATCAGATTTCATTACACTGTGATACTGTGCACATGCCCAGAGCAATGTATTGTAACACAAAGTTCATGAAAATCATGGTCAGATTTTACGACAGTGTGATACTGTGCACGGGCCAAAGCAACACAGAAACCATGAAAATCTGGGTGAGAAATTGAGAAGGCACTGAGTGAAATGATGAAAAAGAGACATCGAGAGGCCGAAACTTGATCACAAAGAAAGAAGTAAAGCATTACGTGAAATAATGTCAGACGGCATGTGTAATCCACTGAGGTTGCTAAAATGACTTTACCCTTTTGTAATCAGAATGATCAGGATACAAAACAAAACAAAAAATCTCTCATATTAGCAAAAATGGGCATAGTGATTTTATTTGTAATATGAAAATGCAACCTGCATGTGCACTGGCAATGGAATTTATAACCATAACTACAGGAAGTAGCATTGATGAGTCTCGCAAATAGAATGTTGAATGAACAAAGTAGATCATGGGGAATGACTTCATGAATCCTATTATAGTAATTTAAGCATACATATAAAAATCATTCATTAAGTGCAACAGTCCTGGAATAATGATTGACTACAAAATAGACTTGAAAGTTTACAAGATGAGAGTCGAAGTGTTTTTCAAAAGCACTGGTAATATTTTAAGGCATTTTACAAAATGTATATCTAACATATTTTATAAATAAACATTTTTGTATACTTGAACTTTAATAAAATATGTAAACATACGTGTAAATGTCTTAGAAGAGCACATGACAAATGTAAAGCCTTCATTAATACAGGTTGAGGATTTCTTATCCAAAATGCTTGGGACCAGATGTGTTGCAGATTTCAGACTTTTTCAGACTTTGGAATATCTGCATGTAGATAAAGAGATATCCTTGGAATGGACTCCAAGTGTAGAGACAAAATTCATTTATGTTCAAAGTATACCTTATACACATAGTCTGAGGGTAATTTTATGCCATATTTTAAAATAATTTTGTGTATGAGAGAAAATTTGTGTACACCAAACCATCAGAAAGCAAGAGTGTCACAATCTCATGTCAGCACTGAAAAAGATTCAGGTTTTGGAGTAGTTTGCATATTAGATTTTTGGTTTAGGGATTCTCATCCTCTATGAGCTACAATTATTAAAAGAAAAGAGAATGTGGCCAAAACATTCAAATCATGTCCTGTTCTCATCTGCTACTTTCCTTCTCTGACTCCTATTCACTGTCAATTTCTTTCTCAAATCTACAATACCAGGATATGAAAATATTGAATTTTATCCAATCTTTCACATTGATAAGCTGAGACAGGTAACCACTCCTTCTGCCTCAAGTTGTACCACATTTCTCAAAGTAAT